TGGGATTAGGCATGTCTGCTACCATTTTTCTTTAAGAATTATTTTATTTAACTTTATTAATTAATTACTTTTAACTTGATCAGAGGAGGACAGAGACAGAGAGAATGAGAAAGGAAGTCACCAGGTCTGGGACTCAAACTGCAGAACCACGGTCAGCCATGCGGGAGGTCCAGCACCCTTAACCACCATGCCACCTGCCGGCCCCTGTTGTTATTATTTTTCAATTGACCAGAGACGGAGAGCGAAAAAGGGAAAGTGAGAAAGCAAGCCACCAGGTCTGGGACTCAAACCACGGTTGGCCATGTGAGAACCCAGCACCTTTAACCACCAGGCCGCCTGCCACCATACACCCTGCATGATTTTCGAGCATTCAGGTTTGGAAGTAGGCGATGGGGCTCTGGCACGATGACCTCCATGCCACCTGCCGGCCCGGGAAGCCGCTTTTTTTAAAGACCTCCTTTCCCTATCTATCATGCTTCGGCCCCAACACCACGTCTCCCCGGGGCAGCCCGCATGGGCTCCTGGGGTTGGCACTGTCAGAAGGCGTGACCCCCAGCTGCCTGTGAGGGTGGCCGGTGGCGCCACGCACCTGCATGCACTGGAAGAGCAGCGTCATGATGTTGCTGCGGGCCACCAGCTGCTCCACGTGGCCTCCCAGGCCCTCGGCCAGGCCGCTGAGCAGGTCCAGGGCCACGATCATGAAGTCCTTGTCGGGGGCCTCGTACTGCTCGGGGTGCTGGGTGTACATCTGGACGCAGACGGGGGTGGGGAGGTGGATGAGGGGGGCGGACCAGATCCCGGGCGCGGCCACGGGGCAGGCAGGCAGCCGGCTGCTCACCATGGCCTGGGCCAAGGTCTTCTGCACCAGGGTGACGCAGCGCTGGTACACGGGCTCGCAGTAGGGCAGGAAGCCGCTCTGCAGGGCGGTGGCCACCGAGGACAGGCACTGGCAAGGGGAGGGCAGGGCAGGACAGGTGAATGTGGGCGGGGACTGTCGGGCTACGGGGGCGGGGGGAAGGGGAGTCTGCTCACCTCCAGCAGAGGGAAGAGGTCCTTGTCCTCGTCCTTGAGCTCATTCCACTTCTGGATCAGCGGGGGCATCAGCTTCTGGATGTATTCCTGCAGCGGGGCAAGAAGTCGGGGCTCCCTGGAGAGACTGACAGCACTCACTCCCCCCTGTCGGCCTAGAGCCATCTCGGCCACGGGCCTGGGGGCAGGGTGAGGGAGTGGGGCGGGGTCTGCCTGCCGGAGGACAGGGGCTGCGAGGCGGGTGCGCTCACCGGCTGGTTGAGATGGTGGCCCACGGAGTCGGCCAGGGTGCCGATGGCGTCGTACAGGATGAGCAGGTTCTTGTGCTGGTACTTGCCGAAGGCGAAGACGAGGGTGTCCAGGATGTAACTGAGGTAGGGCACCAGCTCCGTACAGGCCTCCTCCTCCAGGGTGGCGAAGGCACTGCGGGCAGGGAGGGGCATCTCAGGGGACCAGAGCCAGCAGTACCAGGCCTCGGGCAGCAGGGGACGGTGCGCTCGGGATCAGCCAGTACGAATACCAGAGAAATCAGTGCCACGTCAGCGGTCACAGTGTCATCACTTCCCGGAGGGCGCAGGGTGCTGGGCGGCAGTGGGGGTGAGGGCTCACCTGCAGGCCGCCTCCTGCACCCTCTTGTTCCCGTCCAAGATACGCTTGAGCAGCTCGGTCATGAGAGGCTTGAGGTGCATGTCGGGCGGCTGGCTGACCACCCAGTGGGCGTAGCGGCTCAGCGTCCAGCAGGCGATGGAGCGGACCAGGGCCTTCTTGTCCGACAGGCATTGGATGAGGTGCGGGATCAGCTCGGGCAGGTAGGGCACCATGCCCTGCATGCAGCCTGTAGCGACCGGGAGACAGGAGGCGACAGCTGGGCTGGGGCCTGGGCACCGCCCCGAGCCCAGCTGGGGGCAGCCACCCCCGATCCTTACATCCGCCTTGCCTTACAGACAGACGAACAGGCTCCGGACAAACTGGCCCAGAGGCATGTCAGAGAGCTGGCAAAAGATTTAGAGGGGAACAGGGCCCATGCACCTCATCTTGGAGGTCGGGTTATCTTTATCTTTTTAGAGAGACTTTTTTTTTGGGGGGGGGAGAGGTTTTTGCTATAGGGCACGTGCGCTCGCCAGACAGACAGAGAGAAACAGAGACAGAAAGCAAGAAATCAGCCCCCAGGGAGGATGGCCATTCTGCACTCCCTTCTACTCCATTCTCCTCTCGGGATCTTGGGCACGCACGCACACGCGCCCAGTGTGAGTATTAATCCACCGGGTCCGGGACGAGAACCGCAATCGACTACGTGGGATTCCAGTGACATAGCCATTACAGTAACTGCTGGTCCTTAGAGAGACTTTTTTTGCTACAAGGTGTGTGCGCTCACCAGAGAGACAGTGAGAGAGAAAGTGAGAAACCACCCCCCAGGGTGCTTTCAAATCCTTCTCCATTCTCCTCTCGGGACATTGGGCACACGTGCAAGCGTGTCAGGCGTGTTTCAAGCCGCCAGATCCGGGACTCCATTTGTAGTCAACCATGTGGGAGTTCAGTACTTTAACCCATGCCACCTGCTGGTCCCATTTTTATTTATTTATTTATTTATTTATTTATTTATTTATTTATTTATTTAATTTTTTCCTAGAGGGTGCACTGCTAGCCAGAGACAGAGAAAGAAAGGGAGAAGGCATCCCCAAATTAATCCTGTCTCCATTTCTCCTTAAATTTCGGGTATGCATACACACAGGCCTGACATTTTCTTAAGCCACTGGGACTTAAACGGAGCAGTCCGCGAGGTGGGATCCAGCCGCCTAACCACTATGCCACGGGCCGGCCCTGTAATTATACTTAAAGCTTCACGGGACTGCCTGCCCACCTGCATGGAGATGGCTCACACTTCAGTGTTTGAGGGCCCCTGTTTTAAGTCTTGCCGGCACCCAGCCTAGCCAGGGCCAGCTGGGGGTCAGAGGTCAGGCATAGACAGGTCAGCAAGGTGCCCCTAGCGGGCGGGCAGGGCACTCACCCTCGGCGATGGCACCCAGCACCAGGATGCCCGACTCCTTGACCACCCACTCGGGGTGGAAGAGGAGGCCCTTGAGCAGGGGCAGTAGGTGGGGCAGCAGCTCCTCCCGGAAGACGTTGGGGAGGACGTCCAGCGCAGCTGCCCCGAGCACTTCCCTGGGGCGGGTGGGAAATTGTGGGGCGGGCTCGGGGAGGCCCACCAGGTGGAGGAGGGGGCAGGCTTCCTCTACAACAGCCCAGGGGCACAGGTCATGGTGACCATCGGCTTCCTGTCACCCCCACAGGGACACCAAGGCCTGCCGCCCCCACCCAGGGGTGGCCACGCACTCAGATTCCAGTCGGACAAAGCGTCGTCATCATCGTCGTCCTCTGCGTCCTCGGAGCCATCTGGCCGCTCGGCCTCGTGGGGCAGCGTCACCGTGCGTGACTTGTGGAAACGCGGTTTGATGTCCTGCTCGCTGTCGGGGACGGCCTCATCCTCCTCCACGTCCCCCTGGGAGCGAGGCGGGCAGGCTGTTCACTAAGCACCACTCTCAGCGCCGGCCTGACTCCCCCCCTGCCCACCAGTGGTCCCCCCAGCCTGACCTTAAGCAGAATGATGTCGATTTCTGAGTACTTCATCCCGTTTACCAGGATGGGGATCAACCTGTGGGGGACAGACTGCTCACGGGGTGCACGGGCCCCTGCGAGGTGGGGCGCACAGACCGTGTAAAAGGCAGGGCGGCCCCAGAAGGCGCGATGGGTCACCAGTGACTCTACTGCAGCCACCTGCAGAAATGCAGGCCGGGGTTCTCACTAGCGCTGCATGTGCTCAAACCCGCAGGGGCTGATCTCAAAATCTGGGCACGAGGCATGCGGTCAGTGCTCCCCACATATGCAAAGGACAGGCTTTCTGGACTCGGACTCTGGGCTCTTCCTTGAATGGACTGTCCAAGACGTCCATCCAGGGAAAGAAACCCTGCTGGTGATTTGTATATAAAATTGACTAAACAAACAAAAAAATGGGGCCAGCAGGTGGTGTGGTGGGTAAGGCGCTGGACTCCTACGTGGCGGACCATGATTCTAGTCTGAGACCTGGCAGCTTGTTTTCATCTCTCTTTCTGGTGAGCATACACGCTCTATAGCAAATTACAAAGTAATAAGGGCCGGGACCAGCAGTTAGCATAATGGCTATGTTGCTGGACTCCCACGTAGTCGACCACGGTTCGAGTCCTGGACCCAGTGGCTAAAACTCACACCAGGCGCGTGTGCGTGCGTGCCCAAGATCCTGAAAGGAGAATGGAGGAGAAGGGATTGCGGTGTGGCCATCCCCCCTGGGGGGTGATTTCTCACTTTCTGTCTCTCTGTCTCTGTCTGGCGAGCACACATGCCCTATAGCAAAAATCTCTCCAAAAGAAAAAAAAAGTAATAAGGGCCAACCGGTGACGTAGTGGATCAAGTGTCGGACTCCCACGTGGCTCACTTGCTCTCTTTGCCTCCCTCTCTGTCTCTCCCTGGCGAGTGCACACATGCTACAGCAAAACTTCAAAAAAAGAAAGTAAGGGCCCAACAGATGGCATGGTGGTTAAGGGTGCTAGACTCCCACATGGTCGACCATGGTTCGACTCCCTGACCTGGCAGTTTGCTTTTTCACTTTCTCTCTGTCAATAAATAAATGGATAAGAGTCAAGTAAAATAATTCTTTAGAAAAAAAGAAGAGAAAGTAAACAGATATGGAGAGAAGTGGGCTGACAAGCACAGGAGGTGAGGCGAGGGCTGAGGCAGGGGAGGGACCAGGAAGGCGTGGTACTCACTGGACCAGGTGCGAGGCCAGGACTTCCTTGCAGATGGGCTGCTCGGCCAGCGTCAGCCAGAACTCACAGGCCTCGAGGGCCACGTTCTCGTCGTGGTCCTGCGTCCTTTGCAGCATATACTGCGGCAGAAGGGAGACCCTGAGGCCCTGTGGCTGGGGTGGCCCCCAGGCCCTTGTTGGCCAGCACCTGCCCGCCCCACCGCCTGGCCCTCCCAGGCCCGCCTCCCAGCGGGCACCTGGATGATGCTGTGCATGTGTGGGATAAGCCTGTCGATCCGCACTTCTAGAAGCATCACCAAGGCCCGGCACACGTTTTTGCGCACCTCTGGGTCATCATCCACAGCCAGGGCGAACAGGTGCTGTGGGGAGGGACAAGGGTCAAGGCCCCGCAGGGGCGGGGCCGACCAAGGGAAGGGGGCGGGGCCAGCCAATGGCGTAGGGTGGGGCCAGCCAGAG